TTATATACTTTACTTTATACTTTATAATATAATTAATAATAATGTATAATATAAATAATAATGTATAATAATAAGTATAGTATAATAAGTATAATTATAATAGAAATAATAATAATAGAAGGTAAATTGGATAATGTCGGCAATGTAGTAGCAGGTTCACTAATTCTAATAGATTAAGAAAATAAAATGGTCTTTAAAATACTTTTCATTATTTATTTTAAGACTGTAATACCCCTAAGTCTAAGATGCGTAAAATTTTAATTTAAGTACTATGTAATAAAAAATATTTTTTAATATATAGTCTTCTTTGTATTTAGATTTCTATCAGCTTCCAGATCCGATGGATTTGGAAACTTAAACAGACGATAAACAACATCATATCAATATATATTCTTGCAAAATAATCATTGACAAACTGTGAGATTCCCATAGCCAAAGGAATTATTTGTACTACCTTACACAAAATATTGTAGGGTTATTAACCATGGCAATAATTTATACTCATGGGATCCAGTATGATTTCAAAAAAAACATTAAAGAAATACTCGTATCGATTAACGAAAAGAAAAGCTTAAGAAATACTTTGACAGTAGTGCCAAAAACATGCATACAGTTGCAGAAATATTGAATTGCCAATACTGTATTTGTATTGCTATTTGAATGTCAAGAGTAAGTGAGTCTCCTAATAAAACCATTTTTTAATTAATGGATCCGCCATTTCACTGCTCCCTTTACCATTTAGACAGAACACCTAGTATATTCATAACGCATAGTACCGGTATTGGTGTTGAAGTTAGATCTCTCATGGTGCTCAGCATATCAATGATCTGTGCGAACTGCAGGCTTATTGCGTATTTTTTTTGTTTGTTGTTGCCCACCTAATCAATACTCCGTGAAACATTACATGGTTAACATGGTTAATAACTGAAGTGCAAACTCAATGGGTTAAGGAAAAACAGAGTCCCGAAGTAATACGTAAAATTTTATTACATTAACTAAAAGCCACCATGGTCTCCCTCGTACTCTCTTCAACATTAAGCTTCCATGACAATTTCCTGTTAATTATCATCAACCAGTATTTGGTATATATATGTTTTCAGAGTCAGCATAATCTCATCTAACTTAGGCTTATTCTATCTGGGAACCTATCTGGAAAAGGGATCATATCTAACTTTTCTGCGTTAGCACTCCTTTTGTGTAAATAAGTTTATAAGTTCGTGATTATATTATTTCTATGAAAACAAATTAAAAAAAAGTAATAGAAATATATTACTTTTAATGCTATGTTATTTGAAAGGCAATTATCAATATTATAAGTCATTAATTTTGATATGTATGTTATATGCATTCCAATAGGTCGGATATATAATATAAATAAATATTGAGAATACATCAAAATATGAATAGAAATTTCTTATAAATTCATTACAAAACTAAATTTTGCATTCTTGCATTCTATCCAGTAATTCCGCCAAACCCCGAACTAAGAAATCTTCTTACAGTAAATTTTATTAGGAAAACTTTTAAAATGGATTCCAGCAAAGTGCAAAATTCAGTTGATATTTGTTTATTGGTTTCAAACGTAACTCGTGGGTATATGTGAAGTACATAAACGGATTTCTATTATAAACAAAAATTAAATTAACAAGAAAAACTAAATTGAAAGAAAATTCATTTTATTGTTGGAATAATCACTTACCTGGCCAGAGAAAAAAACTGCGGGAACTGATATAAAAAAATATCCTGCGGTAAGTCGTAATTTACTCAACATGTCATTTCAATAAATGAGCTGAATGCTGTGCGATGCAGAGAACAACACCAACCACAAACTTTTGGCCACCAATATCAGTAGTGAACAGTGCTCATATTGGTACGTTCATAGGTGCGAAAATACCACAAGTAATGCTTACACTTCAAAAAAAAAAAAAAAATTCAATAAAAAGATTAAAAAAAACATCACTCCAAACAGCATAAACTGCAGTTACAACAGCTACGTTAGTTCAACACAATAAGCGACCTCATAAAATAATCTAGACCCGGCCTCCAGGAGACTTGCATTTCTAACCAAATTAGAAGTGTGGTCATAGCTTTTGGCGCTACATGTTAACATTACCACTGCCTAAGTGGACGGCCACTTGCAGCCAATAATGTCCAATCTTTGTGCTTAGAAAACAAATGTTTTTATATATCACTGTGCTAAATTTCAAACAAAGGGTAAAATAAAAATAAATAAATACAGATAGATTTTATAGGCAACATCTTGAAGTTCCTTTAAATATTTAAAAAAAAAACTAACTAAAATTTTTTTTTGGAAAAAAAATAATTTATTTATTTTGTAGAAAGAACATTTGAATAAAACCGTTATATAACGTTAAGCCTGGTACTTATAATTCAAGAATTGTATACAGACTTATAAAAATAAAATTGTTTTCACAACCCACTTGTGGGCAATACCCGAAAAAGTTGTACGGTCAGCCAAAAAAAAAATTTTGTTTTGATCGTTATAAAAATTTTCTTTTCTTATACATTTAGAAGCAGCTTTCTAGCGCTTAGTTTATTATATAAATATCGATTTCATATATTTTATAATATAACATAATTTTAGTTTTAAATGACTGCTTATTTTTTCTTTTGTAACATTAGAGTTTATTGTCAACACATTTTATAAACCTACCACAGTCAAGAATTGTCCCCTCCAATTTATTATAAACCGTAATACTAGGTATATCGCTGCTTCTAATTTCCTTTAGGTGTGGCTTATGACCTTATACTAACTATCTTCTGAGAAATGAGAATGAAATAAAAAACATCTTGAAGTTTGAACAATGAAAATTTCAGGCAGCATTGGGTAGTTCGTTTAAAAGACGAGAAGTTGTTTCTTTTAAATTTGACAGGTTCAAAATTATAAGCCCTGCACTCGTTATTCAACAGTTATATACAGACTTATAAAATTAAAAAAGGGTTTCACAGCTCACTTGAAAAAGCTGTATGGTGTGCCCAAAAAAAGTTTTAATAATTCAGAAATAAAATTTTGTTGTGGCTCACTGTTATTCAAACAATATATTAGGTTCTTCGGAAAGTAATTGCGTTTTTTCCCGACAGAGGATGTAATTGTTTATAATTTTTTTTTCAGTAAAAACCAAAAATTTTATGAACGTGGAATTATGCTACTATCAGAAAGATGGCAAAAGGACGGCCAATATATAATTTAATAAAGTATTTGATTATTATACGAAAACTGTCTTTCATTTCCACAAAAGAAAACGAAACTACTTTCCGAACAACCTAATAGATTTCATTGTCATAAATGATTTTAAAAATTAAATTTAATATATTTTTTTTAAATATCATAAATGCCAAGTATTTGTAAATAGTTATCTATACGTGTATATGACTACCGAACTTTTCCGATACGCTGTTACAACTAACTCTCTCTCTCTAACTCTCTCTCTCTAACTCTCTCTCTCTAACTCTCTCTCTCTAACTCTCTCTCTCTAACTCTCTAACTCTCTCTCTCTCTAACTTTCTCTCTCTAACTCTCTCTCTCTCTAACTCTCTCTCTCTAACTCTCTCTCTTATTCTCTCTCTTTTTCTCGTTCTCTGATTTATAGAATTTTTAACCTTTACTAATATAAATATTACTAAGTACAGTTGATGTGGTTCCAGCAACTAATTTTTATGCTAAGTTTAGTCCACTTCTAAAGGAAATTTTAATAAACACGTTTTTGATACAATCCTGAAAACGACACAATTACCTATCAAACTGTAAACTTTTCCTTGGATTGCATATCTCCCGAATTGAGATGAGATACAAATAAATTAAGAGTCATTAACTCCGAGTCAAATCGGAATTAATTTCTCGTATCGTAATGAACTGAGAACTTGAATTTTTTGTGTTGTACTCCGAAAAGTTGGAAGGTCTTCCTCTTCATAAATTAAGCAATTCATGTCTTATGCTCTCCTGTAAAACTCATATTTTTTAGAATTGCTAATTATTCTTATAACGAAAATAAGCAATAATATCTTTCTTTCTGTAATAAGATAATAAGAAATATAATGATGCGTTATTATAAAACCATATTTCATACTCTGAGATATTGAGACCATATTCCGATTCGTCCGGTACTGCAATAACGACATGTTGTTTTAATTATTAAGTTTAATCGGTTATGAGATAAATAGGAATAGTAGTGCTATCAAAATTTCAACGTAGCAGTAAGTGAGACCGGATTACAAAATAACATCCGTACATTTGGATAAGAGTAAATAAGAGCAATTTTTATTTATTGCCAATAGTGTTGATTTTTAATTAATTTAATTGAATTAATTTGTACCAGATACAATAAGATTTAATACTAATAATAAAATTAATTAATATTTAAATTATTATTAAATTTCTTCTTTGGAAACTCCTTATAGCCACAATATAACAACAGACAATCAAAGAATAAACAAACAAAGTCGTGTTTCCGTAACACAAACATAATATCCCCCTTTGTGGGATTTCAAAATCTGTATATACCATAGACACATAAAGAAATTTAACCCTATGTGACTTTATAAAGTTGAGTTGACAATTTTGAAATAAGGCATTTGGGTTATTGTCGACTAATTAAGTAAAAAACTAATTAAGGAAAAATATCTTCAAGTCTTTCTACTCATATATCTCATATGTAGAAGTCTCTGCAAGTCTCTGCAATCAGCAAGTTCAATGCAACATAATTATATTGACCTTAGGCAGAGTGGTTTAGAGTTGGCAGAGTGCAGTATTGTGAAGAAAAATTATTCCCACTTGTGTTCCAGTTTAAGTTGAGAAAAATACTCGTAAAACATTTGGTTGCATGGCAAATCAAATTTAAAAAGTTCTTTTGTTTGCCGTTAAAGTGCTCAGTGTCACGAGAATTGGCGCTGTGAAAGAACTGCAGGTCTGTGAATATATTTCCACAATGGCGCCAAAGCGCCAACTTACAAAAGAATGGAAATAATCGAAACATAATATGTGTGATTAGAATGGTTTGCAAATATATTTATTATAAATGTATTATGTTCAACTACAACTTATCTCTCTTAGCTAAAATCCACAAATAAAAATTATGTATTCACTGTTCTCTACTTCACTGTCTATGGTTTATTTAAAAGCAGCAACTAAGGAAACTTAAAACATTTTTAATCATTTGCCATATCGCCTATTCCAGTCATGTTAAACTGCAAGCCATGTTGGGTTGCTGAAGCCCAGCTTCGCCTTGGTAATATGCGTCCAAAGTTAAAGTACTTTTGTCTTAATTTATCTTTTATTTCGTCCTCATTCATAATTGCGCTTGCTTCACGAAAATTAAGGAAAATGCGTCCTTTCTCATCGGTTTTTATAGGTAATATTTCTGTACACACATTACGGGCTTTGAGTAAAAAGCCTTCTTCTTCACCTGTAGTCGTTTGTTCAGCTTCTTCGTCGTCAGCCTGTTCGGCTGCATTATCTAATCGTGAATCAACGGATAGTGAACGTGAAGGCTTAGTTGAATTTTTCTTCTTGTTTCGCAAATAAAATGGATCTCTCTCACTCGCCTTAACGTATTGCACCACTGGTCTATTAACTCCCCATTTTGGGCGTTCATCCATTTTGTTATTACCTTCTTTAGAGTTCCGTTTCTTCTCCTTTTCTTTATCCTTGTCTTTACTTTTGGCTTTGAAAGTAGTGGTTGTTGTTGTTGTCGTTGTGGTTGTAGTCTCGTGATCCTTTTCGGTTTCTTTCGCTGGCTTTGATTTAGTTTTTGAAGTTTGTGTGGTGGTTGTTGTAGATACTTCGCGTTTGAGTAGAACTTTATAAAAATTATCATGAAATAAGCAAAGATCACAGTTAAGTGGCAGTTCTGTTTGGGTTTCAACGTCTTGTAAACTTTGAGCATGATTCGTTAAATGTATTTCTGCATTTTGTTTCTCGATTTGTGGAGTCATCGGTATCAGTGCCAATTTATCTATTTCGCCCGTTCTATCTAACGCTATTTCTTCCTCCTTATAGTCGGAAGATTCTTTATAATTGTCTATCTTATTGCTCTCAGACGTTTTTGGTGGCTGGTAACCTTCCTCTGTAGCAATTGATGAATCCGTGCGATGTGTTGTTATGTCACCTGAAAATTTAGAAAAATCTACTGTAGATGCAGCAGTTGTTGGAGTGATTTGTTGTTGCATATAATACGCAGCTATCTGGAGATTGCCATAAGCGTTTTGTAAACCGAAAACGTCACTTGTGACTGGTAGTGGTATTAGGGTAGCTGGCTGCACAATAACAGGAACACTGCGCTCGAAAGTTGGGTGTGGTGAATCATCCTTTCTAATATCGTTAGATGCTATTTGGATAGTTTTCTTAATAGTTCGCCTTAAATTTATAGGTGTTCCAATAAGTACTTTTTCTTCCTCTACTTCATTTTTAGGGTGTTCTTGTTGATGACCATTTTCTTTACTGGTTGTTTTAGTATTCTCTCCAATTATTTTTGTATCATTAGTGGTATTTACCATTGGAACTACTTCCAATATATTAGGTTCACCATTCGCGTTATGCTCTTCCAGGCCATTGATTTCATTACTTATGTGTTCATCCCTACTTTCTATCTTTAAGTTTTCAACCTGGTTATTATTTTCATTCGTTATCTCGCTATCGCAACTATTTGCATCACATTTTTCTTTTGTTAATGCTTTACTTTTTCGTCGTTTCTGTTTCTCTTCTTTTGCTGCTTCTTCTGCTTTGGCTATTGCATCTAACATGGCCTGTTGCTTGCGTTTGTGTGCCTCTTCTCTATCTAATTGTTGCTGACGTTCTTGCTGTAAACGCTCTACTTCCAGTTGTTTTTGGCGCCTTACGCGCTCCTCTTCTAGCATTTCTTCCTGTTTATGTTTTGCGATTTCCCATTTTCTGATCATTTCTCTTTCATGCAATTGCTTTTTAATGGCGTTGTGATACTCAGCCGCTTTACGCCTTTTATCCATTCGTTCCGCCAATGTAACTGGATCCAACGGCACATTTTGACCTCTTAAGTATGTGGATTGTATGGACTGAACATCATCTTCACTGTCTTTCAAATCATGCATGCCACGACTTAACCAACCAGGACCATTTTGTTTTGTCTGATATTCATTAACATTAGACCATTTTGCTCGTTCTCGCTCTTCGTAGTATTCTGTAGGTTCCGTGGCATGTATTTGGTAAGTGTTTGAAGTGGATACATCGCGGCTCAAATCGGAAGCAGTATTTGGTGCTACGTAATAACTAGAATACACAAAAATTGTTAACATTTCTTGCAAATATTGTATGAAAACATACCTGCCCTGATATCCATGGGGTTGGTTTTCGGAAGCATTGTACTCTACATAGTTTGGTTCACGTCCTTTGATTATGTATGTTTTATTTAGTTGCTCGCCTTGTAATTTTTGTCCCAGACGCTTAGAGCAATCAATTGAATGTTGCCCTTGCAACGCTCTTTTATTGCATGTTGCGAGAGTTTCAATCCTATTAGTATCAGAAGTACTTACGGCTATGTGTTGCTCCCCATCCACAATGCTACCCACGATGCTTCCAATTTGGCTCGCCCCATCGTTATACCAAATATCTGGTGTGTGATTGTTTTTGGGTGAATCACTTAAATAACCCGAAGTGTCTTCTTCCTGGCAACCAGGATTATTATTTAATCGATTTTGCGAGTTTCCAGGGTCAATTACTGCTTGCGTTGCAACAATAACTGCATGTGTTGGAATGTTGTGTGGAGCGTACTTGTTTTCATGGTTTTGTTTATGAATTTTATTAGGGTGCCCTGTTTGCTTGACAACATACTCCCGGTGGCGTATTACTGGCAGACTTGGGCTGCGTATACGTTGTGTTCGCTGTATGCGTGCTTTAGCTGTTTGCAATGTTGCTGGTACGACTTCTTCATAATAGTATTTGCTGTTACCTGGCATATGCGCCATCATGCTTGTGGTGTTGTTACGCTGGTTATGCGATCCAACGTTAGCGGCTCCTCGTGGCATATAATTTCCACGCCTTAGACGCCGATAGCTTGAGTCATCATCTTCAAAGTCCGCGTCGTCGTCGATATCATTTTGAACATAGTGAACATAACCATTGCTATCGTAGCTATTGTTCCGATGCAATTGTCGCTGGTTTGTATTTAATGGTTGTTGTTGATAATTTGGATTTCTTGCAAGTAACGGTGGTTGCGCATAATATTGTTGTTGTATATTTTGCTGTTGGCGGGAGTTCTGTCTGAGATCCATATTGGAGAAAAATGTTCTTATGGAAGTGCGTTCAATTTGATGGGAAGTTGACGAATGATGTGAGGATGTCATAATTTCATCCATGCGCGCTATTTCCTCTTTCGGTTTATGAAGTGAAATTAGGAAGTACAAGCATGTAAACAAAAAATAATTAATAGAATTGCCACAAAACTAAATATAAATTATGGCTTACCTCTTTCCTTAGCCCATTGCTGTTTCTTTAAATCCAATAGCGTATGAGTTTGCCTTCCCTCTGCTCCTGTAATCATTTTTTCTTCGCCAAAAAACCCGATTTCGTTTAGTTTTCGTTACAATATCTATTTTTACCAATAAAGTTCATTGTCCTTTTACTGGCGGTCAGCCAAAAGTTCTATACGCAGCTAATTGCTCTCAATTCGAGAATATACCAAATGTATCTGATTTATAGTTACTTTATTATAAATTCGTTTCAAGTCTGTGGTTACACTGAAATTACCAAACTATGTAAAATTCCGTCACACCTTAATTTTGTAAAATTTGACATTTCGTTTTGTGTTGGAATCCTTGTGTCTCCAATGGCAACTTCGCCTGGCAATGGGGTAGTAAACAAATTGTTAAATACACAGCTTGACTCGTTTGTGGGCCTCTGGGTTATGTTGTCTTAGTAGCAGGGTCGCTACTTTTTCAAAACAAAACCGTTTTCAGTTTTTGTTTATTTTGTATATTTCAATTGTTTAAATTGGCATAAATATATGTGAATTAATATGCAAAGTAAACTGGAGTTGTGAATTTCATTTAAGGGTAGTTCATTACATGTCTTACCCATTTATGACTGATATGACCTACGTCATAAAACTTTGTTTTAGCCGTTTTATTCTTCAGAAATTCCTTTATATAGGCTCGTATGGAATATGAGCGAAATCAAAACTTGTTACTGAAAGGATACCTTCTACTTCAAGGACAAGTGCTGTTTTAATTCTCTTCGTAATAACTTCCTCAAAATTAAATATAAAATTTGTGATTGTTATACTTTTGATTAATAATGTAATATTTGGTGAATTATAAAGAACTAATCTACATTTTCCTTTATTTTTTTTTATTTTTTTTTTTAATTATAATTTTATGCATCATAAATGATATAATTATTGTTATTATAACATAATTCATGCGAGTTCTTAATCTTCCTGTCCATAAGAAGCGTGATAAAGGAAATTGCGCGAATCGTCTAGGTATATTGTTACTTAAAGTCCCCACAGGCATTACTTATAAGCGAGTTAGATGATGGCGCCGGAACCTTTTTTGTTGACTAGGCCATAGTACACTCCTTTCTCTCATAAAAATAAAGGAGAACCAGAACAAAGAGCATTACTGAGATAATATACCATGATTAACACAATCCAAATCAAATATTGGTACCTATAACAGTAAGAGATACCAGGATTGTATGAACCTATCAAAAGAAAATTTGGAATCATCACAGGAATCCTAACAGGGCACTGATTTCAGGCACACATGTGCTGTTAGAATGCCCTGCGCTAATGCGCAAACAGAATAGACTCCTGGGAATTTATATTCTCACGGAAGAGGCAATAAAGTAGTTTCTTTACTAATTTTTTTGAGACAACAGGGCTGAGAGAGCTACTTTAAGCCCAGATGGGGTTTAGATCCGACGGTCGCAGTATCACATCGCTTAACATTAATAATAATACTTCATCCTTATTTGAGTTTTCACCGAAAACATGAACACAAAAGAAATTTTTTTTGTTTATATTTATAGGCTTTTGTTAAATTCTTAACTTCGAATTCCTGTATATACTTTACTCGAGAGCGCAGTGAAGGTTCGTTTTTTTAGCAGTGTGATACAGAAATCATAATCCTGCTTTAGACACAGCTTCTTCTTTTTGTGATTTTCCAACAAGTTTTCCAAAACTTGGAGTAAGTAAGAGTTCATTTGGTGAACTCAATTACCAACATTACTTTTGATGCTGATTTCTGTTGCCACGCTTTAACGGCTAGATTAACACTTTCCGGGTTCTATAACATCATCCGGACTTTTGTTGATGGTTCGTACTTGTTATACCAAGTTTCATCTTCTTTAACAATATAATAGAACTGTTGAATCATAGATTTTCAAATATTTGAGTAAAATATTTTATTGAGGTCGCCCCTATTTTGAGCTTCAGCTAATGTTCCAGGAACTCATCATGTTAATTTCAAAAGGATTGTTTAATACTTGTGAGACTGATATGAAATTTAAGCGCAGTTCACTGGTAATCATTTCCTGAGTTAATTTTGGATGTTAATCAATTTTACCGTTCACCAGAGCAAGAGTCAAATATACAATCCAAGATTCCGGATGATATTTGCAAGATTAGTTCTCCACAGAAAAACATCCGACTACATTTTCCGAACAAATTTGAGACGATCATAGCAGATAACAGCTTCTTTCTATATGCTATTTGGAACCCGAAGTCCGAATCGTAAACGGAATCTCCTGCTGATATAGTAGTTTTTGTTTGTAGGTTTGCGTATTCTTTTCCATTCTGACAGTTGGGTGTGAAACTTTAAATGGTTTTTTTTGGTTTGTAAAAAAATATTCCGCATTGTCAACTAAGTGAACTTTTCGTTATACTTGATAAAAATATTGAAGTGAAAAAGATTAGATTAGATTTTATTTTTGTTTTTATTATATAGTTTTTACTCTATAGTTGTATAGTTGTTTAATTTCTTCATAAAATATTGTACAAGCCGTTGACATAAAACATATCTGTTTGGTCTGATGTACAATACTTCTACTTAACTTGCTGTCAACTTTCTGTTAGCCGTTGTCACATTTTGAAAAAGACAACTTATTTTGGTATTCCGATTAATGCTAGTGCTATGTGTCGCCTTAAACCGTTCAATTAAAATTTCTGTTATACAAAAGCTCTCATCTGTCAACGCGAACCCATCTAGCGCACTTTTGTGAGCAGTGCGGAGGTGTTAATAATATCAGTCATAAGGTCATGTTATAATCTCATGAAGTACAATAAAAATATGAACCACTCACATAGCTAAGCAGACCAACTTAAGTAATAAAACACTCCAATATACTTGACGTGAGTGCTTTTATAAGACATTATAATGAGTTTTTATAACCCCAAACTTTGCTAAATAATGATAAAAAGGTGCATACGTACGCTACGGGCGTTAGCTCAAAATAAAATTGAAACATATAAACATTTGGAGATGCGGCCTAAGTATGCAGTGCAATACAACCCAATGCCTCTAGGCATCTACTTTTATTGTTGCTGTTAGTGGCTTTGCTCTTTTGCAAATAAAAGTTCACGTACGGATATCAACTCATAACGAAAATTAAAGGCATTTACGAAAATCTACAACATAAAAAGCGACGTCTCAAATATGGTCGAATAGTTTTCCCAAATCAAATTTTAAATAAATTATATATGTCACAACAATGTGCAATGCACAATGCACAATGCTCAATGCAATGTGCAATGTGCAACGAGCAACAACAACACATCTACTGCCAAGTGGCATGTCTACATGGAGGCTGCAACAAATTTTACATGTTGCGCACTTAGAAATTCAATCAGATTTAGAAAGTAATGCCTTAACCACTGCTAATATGATAAAATAAGTTTAGATATGTATTGACTGATATGTCATTCAGCAACAACCGCATAAACGCTGCCAGCTTTAAGTCATATCCATTGTCCCAGAATCGCACGAAATATGAGTTGCATACGTACATCGTACATCGTAGATATGCGGATATCTGTATCTATCAGTGCATGCAGTTTGATGCTCCCTCCCGCGAAAACAAACAAATAAGCCAGGCTTAATAATTGTAATTTTCTGTACTAGTGTAAATACATACAAGCACATCTGGGCACATATAAATTTGAGTAAATATGGACATTGGAAAACCTATCTACAAGTGAAGCTCTTCGTGCGATGGATTTCGTCGCCTTGCTAGCTAACTCGCTTGCTCGCATAAACTTTCATCGTTTTCGCTCTGAGCTCCGGTACCGATTATTGGTATTTTGATGATATTGACACGATCTCTGTCCAACGATCGTAATTTCATTGATTTTCGATACCCAAATCATTTGACTAAAATTACAACTTCATCATTATAATTTTGTAGTTATGATTATGATTACAGACAACGGGCTACAGACCACTTGTAGACGCAAATAATAGAAATGCCACATTTTAAGTGCCTCACATGCACGGAGCCATTGTTGGGCTTTAGAAGATATCATGTTTAAGTGCTAATTTAATTGTTTTATGAATTTGTAATGTATATTTTTGTATAAATACTCGCAGATAAAGTCACTGTAAGCATTTTGAAGCACTTTTGTGGAGTATTTAATTATGATTTAACCTCGAAAAATTTATTGAACGATTTTTGGGCATTTGAAACTGTGAAGGAGTGGTGCTCGTGTCTGGAAATCTCAAACTGAAGTGGAAGACGTTGAGTTGATCAAGTGACAATAAACAACATTTTGATAAACAACATAGTCATATTTGCATAGGTTATGACTTATTAATTGTAAACTAAATTGCCAGGAAACAAAAATTTTATGCAAAAGATACATTTTGTGTGCATTAATATAATTAAAATGACCAAAAATTATATAAATCAATTATTGATACCGTGGGATTATTTTTCTTTTTTTATTTTTTTGACAATCAACAAATATAGAAAAATATTAAAAATTTTCTTTATTTATTCCATTTCTTAAATTATTAAATAATTATATTCTTTGTGGGAGTGTTTTTTAGCAGTAGGCTAAGTTAGGTTAATATGGCATGAGTATAGTTGATTTGCGTGGTTACTTGCCATGAGTGCTTGACAAAACATTGTTCAAAATACACCTATGAGGATAATGTACCAATAAATGCCCTGTTAGAAAAATTCATGGTAGTACCAATTGCAAGTTATATACTTCCCCATTGCTAGAGAACGAGGCACATCGATGGCTCGGTTATTCTGTGGCTCAAAGCAGCCAGTTGAAAAGAGAAACTGCACATAGAATGCAAAAACAAATGCTAACAAATGTCTTGCAGAATTTAAGATCTTAACCAGGATAACCAAGTGCCGATACTAGATTGCACTCCTGGTGGAGAGCTGCAAGTGAAAAGTCACACGGTCAAATATTTTAATATAAATTCTTACCTCCATTTATCTTAACGCATATTTTCATGTCGTTTCTGGTAAGACCTTTATACTTTTCCATAAATTTTACTTTACGCCTTCAATTCAGTTCAAACAGTTATCCCGAACCTGTTTATTCAAATATGATGAGATTTAAGTTAACAGGTTTCAGACTGAAACCTTAGCTTTGGGAGATTTGTGCAGACCTGGTGCATGCGTCGGTAGTATTAATTGCTTGTCTTTTTAGTCCACAATGTGGATAGATCTATAATAGATCTATACTTTCTGAGTACTATAAATATTTTCCCATCATTCTAAAAAATGAATTTTAGTAGGTACTAAACGTAGATACGCAACTTATATGCATTTTTTGTAAAATTAGTTAAATTCAGAAGCTTCAACTTTAGACTAAAGTTAGGTTTTTGGGATCTATAATTGAAGAACCTCCTTAACTTTTAAAATGTTTTCACATGA